AACATCTGCTCTCCTAGCATTTCTTAGAAATGAGAACTAGGTCCTTGCTGATCATGCATTGACATCAAATGATCATTGTCTATTTTTTCCATTTTCGTGTGATAGTAAAGGATTAGCCCAGTTCCTGTTCATTGCTGGGTTAGTGGGCGTTCCAGCACTCAACTGGTAGTACCTGGGGTTAAGAAATCAAAGTGCCATGCTACAGAATATACTGTTCACCAAACATCTGCCATTTTCTTGTCAAAAACGAGTCCTTTGGCATGGAGACCCTGTCAATAATTATTTATGCTGGCAGTCTGAGCACTTGCAGCAAGACAAAGCAGTAGCAGAATGAATCATTGAGTGTCCAGTGAAATTATAGGTGAACGGTAGAGGAGTGTTGTTTACCAAAACATTTGTGTTACAACAACATCGCTTCTCCTGCCCTAACCCTCTAGGTTGCACCATATGTAAAATCATACCTACCTATGATATATGCCATGTTTCTCCTTTCTTTCCAGCAAGATGCTGATTGGAGGAATGACGTAGACCTGAATTAGCTAGATATATGTGGGGTTTATTTTCTTGTCATTGAGTTCTCAACATGTGATACAAAATTTGTGAAGAATCTGTTAAAGCAAAAGCAGAAACAAGCTTCCCCCTCCCAAATTATACTATTCATGATAAAGTGGAAATAAATTAAGAAGAAAAAAAAAAAGAAAAAGAAGCTTTTTCAGTTAAATGTGTTTGATCCTTGAGAATGAATGAATAAGCAAAGACTTGATGGAAATGTGTGGGCCTTTTTAAACTTAAGGGTTATTCCAGCATGCATCTGTGTCATGCATACCTACCTAATTACTGGAGTGGTTTATGGTAACGATGCTGTTAGGTGATCTTCTGTCTCTAATGACTCTTTCAGCAATGCAACAATGCTCATGAAAATAATAAGGTGGATTTAAGCTTTGTGTAGGCATTTCTACAGGAATATGTTCTTGGGGGGGCTGTGAATGTACTCTCTCTACAACAACTTGACCAAAACCTCAAAGTAGATGCTGAAATACCATATTACACTCTACTGGCTGCATTTCTCATGGGAAAGACAATGAAGCCTTCCCAGAATGATTTATTACCTGTTTCCTAAAATTCCAGTCCATCACAGGGCTGTGTATATGTGTTTCCAGTCCCCAGACCCCTGAGTGGACATTAGATTAGTGGAATTTGATGTGATGCTACTTGGCCTTCAGCAAACGGTGTAACAGTGACCCTAAATAATCTACTACTGCTTCAAAATATTTACAAACTGTGCAATTGGATATTGCCAGAAATCAGGCAGTGCTACGTGTTTGGAAGCTCAGTAAGTAAAATCTAGATACATTGAATATACAGGTACAAATACAAGACATTGTCATTTACACTATAGTATTAATTATGTCATATCCATGACCATGGCACATTACAATTGTTTGTGCAATTCATTCAGCAAATGGGGCAAGAAATGTGTCTGAGCAACGCAGATAGGTGTCTTAATTACACTAAGAATACAATCAATATTAGTTTATGCTTCCCCAGCACCTGAGGATCTCACTCAGATAAAAATCTATTGCATTTGTGTTACTGGACTTGCTTTGGTTTGATGCTTAATTTGGTGGAATGATTCAGGACTGACACAAGGTTAACCGAAACTGAACATGGTTCAAGAAACAAAGTTGTGTCCTTTTCATGCCTTTGGCAGTTCGCTCCTAACACTAAAAAGTAAATAACAATTGTGATGACTACTGGGAGGAAGCATGAAAGCTGCTTAAGGTTCTAGGAAAAAACCTAAAATGAATCATAAAATTAAAATGAATGTTTAAAAGGGCGGCTTCTATTTCCTTTTTAATTCCTATCTCAGCTGCTTAGATAGTTTTGATAAATCTAGCCCCCAGTAATTTCAGCCATAAAGAGGAGTTTCTAACTAAAACATCAGTATAAGAAGGATGGGGTTATTGATCTCTCAGAATCTGATATGTTTTGAGTTGTTCAGTCTGAAATGGGATCAGCAGCATGCAGGCACCTTCGAGGGGGAAACTGAATGTGTGAAGAAAGATCAAGTAGGCATGAGACTGGCAATGAATGACTGAACATACAAGTTGATAAAATGGAAGTTTACAATCACTAAAGCATTTGACTGCTGCATAAAACAACATGTTTCCAAGGTTTTGTAAGCCTAAATGCAAAGGCTATTGTATATAATAATCATCAAGTTATTTAGAGACAGTCTTATTTTTTATGAGAGTAAAGCACTCGTTATTGTGCTGTAAATTATACAAATTATTGTTTGGGTTTTTTCATATAATAATCATCAAGTTATTTAGAGAGAAAGTCTGATTTTTTATGGGAGTAAAGCACTCGTTATTGTGCTCTAAATTATACAAATTATTGTTTGGGTTTTTTAAAGCAAGTCTTACAGTCTCTAGTGGCGGCACTATATTAATTAAGCATTAGTTCCCCAGCAGTTCACTTTTCTCTTGTGTTTCTGTCATAGCTCGCAGCTAACTTCAGTAGTGGGAATTTTTAGTAATAAGTGCACAGTGGTAACAATATATAATTAATCTTTGAATTTAAGCATGTCCCCAAGCCTTTTAAAGCCAAATAGGGTCTTGAGTGATTTGCAAAACCATGACCATAGTGTCTATAAAGTAGAACTAGGGGTACATTTTCCTAACAAAAATAATAATTAAAAGGGCCTGAACCTAAACATGTACCATACATATAGGAAGAAAATAAAGCATACTCAAAATCAATAACCAAATTTTTGTGGGATCTTTCAATTTCTTTTTTGATGATGGAAGTTCTGGCTAAAGGGTTATTCCGAAGAGTGAAAGATTGATAGCAATGTAAATCTCAATAACTACTGCAGGTATTGCATGATATTACCTTCAGAAACAGGCTGAACACCCTGCCTCAACCACAACTCAACTCTCTCATGTACTAAAGGCAAAGTACTAAAATATGTTGTGGAATAAAGATCTGGATGGAGAATTGAGTCTGATGGGATGATGTTTAATAGTTTAAAACAACAAAATAGGACATGGAAAATGCTTAACATGGACCACAGTCTAAATGCCACAGAGATTTCAATATGGTGACATAACCATACTATGAGCTATCTTTTTTCTTTGTTATAACACCTCTCTTTTTACAGGATACGTGTGCACAAATATTGAATATGCCTGGTGTATATCTGCATAGACTTATATATTTCATTTCTTTTTATCACTTCTGTGTAACTTTTCTGTTGTCATATCTGTTTGGATAAACAACACTCCACTTCATAACACATACAGAAATGCAATATCAATTTATACACACCCATTTATAAAGTTGCAAAAAAATATGAAAAATAATGGTAGCGAATGAAACAGAAAATATGATGTTTTCTCTTGGTTTTGGTGGCTAACTATACACATAGGAAAAATACCAGTAAAACCCAGTCACCATATTGATCAAAAAATGACAAGGATGTTTTATAATCTAGTTAAATCACTGGAGTCTATGGCATGCTTTGCTTCATATGTGAGATGTGCAGCAGACAACAAACATGCACTTAACGGGTCATAATCAGAACTAGCTCTGCACATCTTGGGTACTAATTACAATCTAAGATTCAGTGGATGACTTCCCAGCAGCACATACACGGGAAGTCTTCATGCAAGCCCTTGGCAAACCATGCACACGGTTAAACTATTCGCTACACTTTCTCCTGAGTTCTAATTCTGAGATGTATCCACCTGCAGAATGAATTTAAAGAATCAGTTTTGTCTGTGGAAATATGTTTTGGAGCAAGCTTTGAGGAAAGTACTTTCAGTAACTGGATGTCTGACCACAGACATGAAAAAGTGGTGCATAAAGTATTAACTTATCATGTAAGTGTAAACAAGACAATAGGAAATAAGAAAAAAACCAGGCAGCTGGAGGACATAATTTTCCCTGCAAATTATTGATGGATGACATCAATATGCTATGATTGTGGTTACTTCGGGTGAAACTGATCACTGGATATTTTTTTTAATAATAAATAATAATAAAATGAGGATCTCCTACTTTAACCTGGCAGCATTTATTTTTATTTCAGGTGTTCATGACTTGCCTTTTTTCGCCAGGGATCCAGTGCTAAATCAAATAGTCTTACCTATGCTTATGAGTGCCAGAAATCACTAGAGCTCAGAAAAAATTGCAAAACAAATGTGCATGATGTGGAGGCTGAGAAGCCAAGAAAACACCAAATGTGCTGCCACATATTGTTGTTATTCAAAATTATTATATAGTTTTTATGTGGAGAATGACAGCATGCACAAAATGAGAAAAAAGACCATCTCAAATGGCCAATCTCTGCCACAAATGAGGCAGAAACTAACAAAAAGGACAACAGCTTTAAAAAAATGTAAATCGCAAACAAAGTTATAAGAATTCTAAAGTTAAATTTTAGGATTTGTTGCAAATTTTAAACAATTCTAGGTGTGTGTGGTGGTTCGTCTGGCTTAAGTGGAATGCATTCAAGGTTACAGGAAACATGAACATAATAAACTGCAGGAGATCTTCCTTAATTAGAATTCAGTGTAAAGTTAATGAAATCTTTTCACCAAATCTCGTTGCTTTTAATGAGCTTTGGACCGTGTCCCTGGAACGTATGAAGCACAGCAGACTGTCCAATGAATATAATAATATTTATGCCTGGTCAGTATATTAATTTCCAGATAACTGACCTGTGAAAAAGTTTTGGTTGGTTGGTTGTTTTTTTAAATCTTGTACTTATGTTTATTTTTTAGGGCTTTTAAAAAAAAGTTGAAAGCTGGAATTAAAATGCTCTTTAATGGCTTTTGGATTAAAAATAAAAGTAAAAATCAACCAAAGCAATTTAATAGATCCTTTGACTCTTTTTGAAAATGAAATTAATTCAGCTAAGATGTCTTTTTGACTTTGTCTTTTTTCCTATGTGTATATTAGAAATCTAAATTGATTACTGTTTTATTTGTACTTACAAGTAAATGCTGGATTCATTGCCCCCAATGTCAGGTGACTGGAGTTTCTGCACGAGTATAACAATTATGCCAATAAAAAGCACAAAGTTTATCTAGGAGAAAAAGAAAGGAAAAAATAATTGCAATGTATTTTTTTAAGGATGATAATGAGACTTTCCCAGTGACTTGCTGGCTGCATCCTCTTATTCTTCTCCAAACTGCAGTCTAGAAGTTTCATAAAGTCAGGAGTAACGGGATAAGTTCACAAGGGTCTTATTACTCCTTTTCCAGGCAAAAATATCCACTTTGCAATAACTAAAGGCAGAATTTCTTCAGTCCCAAGCACAAGATAAGACAAATGTAAAGTAGAAATTTTCAACATTTTTTAATATCAGCCAGTGCAAAGAATAAAAAGAAAGAGCCCTGCACACTAAAACCATAAAGCAAAGATCTCAATAGTAAAAGCACAAGTATCTAGCATCATTTGAGTAAAATCCAAGACCTCTATCAACTAAAGAGAGCTTAGATACCTTGTTGACAATCGAGCATCTTGCACTATGTCCACAGTACTTCTATAAAGCTAGTATTAGATAAATAAACGTAGCTGTGGAATGAATTCCATTCAACAGATACAGTTCAGTTTCCTAGTCACTGCCTTCTAGTATTGTTTTAGATGTCTGGGGTTGCCCCACTTGGCCTTCAGCTTCTACCCCAAATGGCACAGGGTTCCCGTACATCCTATGTCATATCTGCCAGCCCCAGGCAAATGCTACAGATGTTCTAGGATGTTACTTATGCCATTTAGTATCTATGTTTAAGCAGCTGAATAACTCCTTTTCTATATAGCCTGTGCTCGCAGGCAGTGCACTGCCATTTATATAACTCCTTTTCTTAACTCCTGTGCTCGCAGGCAGTGCACTGCCATTTAAATCATACTAAGCCTGTTCTATAACAACGGAATTACTTAGCATTGTGGATGGCAAATTATGGACATTAAGGTGTCCAGTACTCTACTGATGCAGCACAGTTTTTAAAGCCATTTGAAGTTATTTACATCAGTTATTTGCCCTCAGAAATGTTGAGGAAGCACCTCCTCCAAGTGCCACTTACCATGATTGATCCAACCACAGGACCCTTGATCACCCACCACAAGGCAGTGTTGTCATTCATGTCCCAGCAGCTGAAGTTGTTAATGAACGAATGGGGTGGGGAAAGAGAAGGAAAGAGAAAGATATAACAAGGAAGTTAAACTTACAACATTTTTTAAGGGAGCAGAGAGTTGGAGATTGGTCTCGTAGCTAAATTTTTCTATTTAGGCTCAAAGGCTCTGATTCTTCAGTCTGTCCCTGTTGTAGTTTTTACAGACTTTACCCAACTTATCTGAAAGTAAAATAGCATTTTTGTGGCAATTTCAATGCTACCTCTTTCTGAACTGTTTAGCTATTTTGGAAAATGCCTTTATATGTGTTTCTAGGTCTACAGACAGTACAACTGAAAACTTGTCCCTTTAAGCTAACATCTCAGTAGAAAGAGAAAAAAACTACAGGGATACCTTGAAGGGTATGAGATGGTTATTCCAAACTTTAATGTCTCAGCTATTTTTCCAGGGTAAACATGAATGTTGGCTCCTGACTCTGACATGAGGACTCGTACACATATCTAGTACACAAGGATATACCAGAGACTGGTTGCCTTCACATATGGGAATGATTTTCCAGTCACTGGGTAGCAAAACCTACCAAGGAGAAAGGATTCACCTAAGAAGGTTCAAGTACTGGACAATAGTTGGGGTCATCTTCTTTATTAAGCTGTTGGGAGTCAGCGATCATAACTAAAATGGCATTTATACTTCAACATTTAAAATCTTCCTCCAGACACACCAAAGGATTCTGCTGAAGTTTATTCCATATAGATGCATTTGGACATTCATTTGTAGAGAAAGCTGATCTCTGCTGAAGTTTATTCCATATATTTGGACATTCATTTGTAGAGAAAGCTGATTACAGGACCCATATACCTGTGGGTTTTTAACTTTAACATATATTTTAAAGCTAGAAAAACAATAATAATGAAAAAAAATATTTCCCTGGCCGTACCACCCCTGCTACATGATTTTAAGTCATTAAGAATTTGACGGTCAGTTAAAAAATATCTTCTATTTGTCTCTGCTTTCTTCCCCTCATGCTTCCCTCTGAAAAACATAAAATCACAGAAAGATGTCTACTTTGTACCTGCTGTTCCAAGAAGAAAGGTTTCCCCTCCTCCTCAGAATTGCAGCCAAAAGTCCCAGCAGTGGTTGTCATGGTGCATTTGTCAGATGCCAAGAAAGCATATGAAAGAGCACACAGGAATAAACTACTGCTGATCTTATGAGAGCTTAATGCAACTTCTGTGTCATTTAAATGGTAGCATCTGGGGGAAAAGTGAGAATCTTTCACCAAAACTATATACATGTGCAATGTGAGGAGGCAGAGCTAAAATTCCACCATCAAAGTGCATTTGACAGAAATCCCAAGCAGCTGAGTAATGACTGGTTTAGAAATTTCAGTTGAACTTAGATATGCAATATTTTACCACATTCCCATAAAACCAACAATAAGGGTATGTGTGATAGAGCTGGTGAGAAGAGAGACAATTAGAACTGGGATGTCAAATTTGAACAAAACGACATCTTTTTGCTTCTATCTACAAAGCCTAGAAACGTAAAATCCAGTCTCAAAGTCTACAGGACTGATGGCTGAGGTTTTCAAATGCAAAGTAATATTTCTTAGTTACCTCATTTTGGATGCCTAACTTAAAATATTTGAAAGAGGATGAATGTTCAAAGGGAACTCCTTCTCACCCAGTCTGGAAACCAGGCTTTTTTCAGTTATCAACAATCGTATACCACAAAACAAAAGCACCTGAAGTCATCAATTATCTGCTTAACTCTCTGTATTCATTTATGAATTGGGTGCCCTCTTCTGAAAATTACCCACAATTTGAAGAGCTCAACCACTCTAAGATGCACATTAATTTACCCTGAAAGTCTTTTGTGAGTTGACCAATGCCACTATTTGAAGAGCTCAACCACTCTAAGATGCACATTAATTTACCCTGAAAGTCTTTGGTGAGTTGACCAATGCTGGAAGCACCTGAGCAAGTTCTAACAGGAGTCTGGCTGTACAAACAGGCAACTGATATGTGGCAACCTGTCTGTGTAGAAGTGAGAAATTACAGGGGATGGAATCTACCTGCTCTAGTTTCAGTCATCTATACTGAAGACATCTACAGCCCCAGTTAATTATCCTGGACTATCGTTGGAACAAATAGATACTTGGAGGGTGTTGATTTTTTTTTTTTCCTCTGCAATGATGTATTTCAAATGTGTACTCTGGGTCAATACATCATCTCCTACAAATGCCTATTCTTCTTAGACCTATTCCTCTCCTTTTACAGGATGTATCCCCAACAAGCTCACCTGCAAATATCTATCCTGTAGATGTCAACAATGAATGAGATTAAGCTCACAGAAAGATTTTTTTCAAGGGTTTTTTTTTGGTCAGTCCCTCTGACCTCTATAGGGTGGATGTGGTGGAAGAAACGCAATTTTCTCCTCAGATCAACGTGACCAGAAGGAAAAAAGCCCCAACGCACAACAAAACAGTCTGTAATATCCACCAAAAGCTGTACTAGATAGATAGGCTCCCTAATTTCTTTCAAATGTGTTGCTACAGTGGAGGTCCGACATACAGGACTCTTTTTTAGGATGGATGAAGGGAAGGGAGCCAGTGGGATGGGGGAGGGATGCGATTTCCATTTGAAAAGGCCAGAGTCCAATCTCTGTTACGTCTCTGGTGTACATCTGGAATAATTCCATTTAATTCAGTAGCACAGCTCTGGATAAACAGACAGTTGCATTTATCTCCACAAACATGTCACTTAACAGTGACGTGAATCAGGACCTGAAGTCAAGGGAGCTCTGCCAGTTTCATAAGAAGCAAGCAGGTGGGGACTCAGACTCAGACTCTGTATTTTAGTCCATGCCTTTGTGACTGTGGTTTCCCAGTTCAGTAATTTCTGCAATGTTTTCAGGCTCATGCTGGCTTCTCCCCCACCCCTAGAACAATGCTAGCTGATTTTTAAAAAGTAACCGCTGAGACACTCAGCTAGAATGTGTCTAAATGTGTTGCATGCTAAATAGCTTCTCTAACTAAAAGAAAGAAAAGGCGTTTTTTTGGCTTTTTTTTCCTTCTTTTGCAAGACATTCCCTCTACCCACAAAATGCAAGGACTGTTTGCACTCCTAAGAGAGATTAATGCATTTACGACCCCTGTTGTAATCATAATAATGACACAACAGGGGGTTCTGGCTTGTTTTGCATGGAAATAAATGATTTAATTTGTCTTAATGTCAAAATAGAACATTGGGTCAAAGCACTGGCATACCCAGTGGAGGAAGGGCTTTATGTACTTTCCAAAAAGAGCATGAAATAATAAGGATGAAGAAAACCTGACAGAACAGTGAGTGTTGTGGAAATTTTGGATGCAGGTATCTCTAGTATAAGGCAAAATTAAAACTCTCAGAAGTGGGACAACAAAGCCTTTCACTCAGATCAAGGTTTGCAAAGGACCAGTGATGAATTTTCCAAATTTTAGAATAGAATAGAATAGAATAGAATAGAATAGAATAGAACAGAACAGAACAGAACAGAAAAGACTGGACTATTTCCATTGGAAGGGACCTAAAACAATCATCTAGTCCAACTTCAGTCTTGCTCATTCCCAGCATTTTTCCTAAGACTTCACCAGTTTCAAACATGGCTGTCCTGAAAAAATATTGCTAAGTTTGTATTTTAAAGGTGTACATTTGTGTCCATTCCTACCAGCTACGTCTGCTGCTCTGCCAGTCCAATCAATCTACTGACTACCAAGATGTGCAGGGCCATCCCTGGCAGCAACCTTTCCTTCTTGTTCTCTAAAAAATGATACAGGATCTTTCCAGGGTTTTTTCCCTGCAGAAAGAGACCATTTAGGTGGAATCTACCTTCTTGAATTCTTTCTGAAATTATTCCATTTCCTCATAGTTGTTTTTTTTTCCAAAAAGCTCTCCAGAGGGAAGCTGAACTCCTAATTGCTTTTGTAAATCAAAGCTCAGTAACTCCTTGTGCAGATTTCACTCATCACATTGGAGATATCTGCAATAATTTCTATAGATGAGCTCATCATGTTCATCTTCATAATCAGTTGGAGAGGAAAAGACAATTACAGATGTGATTCACCTGACAGCTCTCTTAAGATGAGACAAACCATATCCTGGACCCCACTAATTTAACTGAGCAGGGAACAGAGGACCCTGTGTCAACTACAATTCTACAGGATAGACACCTACATCTTCTTTCATCAATTCACCAGAGTAATAGGGGCAAAAACATGGCTATTATGGCTATTTATTCAGCTGAACAGGAGAGCACTCTGGGTTGAACACTGGACCTAAACTACTTGCATACACAAATTAATGTCAGAAATTAAAGGAGAAATTAGTCATGTTCTCTGATCACTATATACCTGCTTGATCTTTGCCATCGTGTTGAATGCACATGAAATCACACAGAATTATAGGGGTTGGAAGGGACCTTTTGAGATCTAGATCAACTCCCTGCCAAAGCAGGTTCACCTAGAGCAGGCTGGACAGGAACGCATCCAGGTGGCTTTTGAAAATCTTAAAGGAAGGAGAGTTCACACCCTCTCTGGGCAGCCTGTTCCAGTGCTCTGACACCCTCAAAGTAAAGAAATTTTTCCACACGTTCAGACAGAACTTCCTGTATTCCAGCTTGTGCCCATTGGCCCTTGTCCTGTCACCAGGCACCACCGAGAAGAGCCTGACCCCATCCTCTTGACACCTGCCCCTTAGATATTGATAAGCATTGATGAGATCCCCTCTCAGTCTTCTCTTCTCCAGGCTAAACATATGCAGTTCTCTCAGCCTTTTCTCATAAGAGAGGTGCTCCATTCCTTTGATCATCAAATGATTTCCCACACAGCGATACTTACCCAGTATCATCAAAGTGAAGTCTCAACACTGCCCAGACAGTGACACAAATTGTTGGGGTACCTGCAGAAGATAAGATGGTGATATCATTAGCAGCCTAGACACATTTAGTCCTCAGCAATGAGCACTCTTTGCAACCTCCCACTGAGGTTTTACTTCCTCATACCACTCGTGCACTAAACAGTGCAATTCCTTACATTATTTCAGAGCTCTAGAAACATTTGTCTCAGCCATAGGATGGGTTAGGTGGAATTGCAAATGAAAAACTGATAACAGGAAAGAATAATTTTGTTTCAGGTCATTATTGCTTAAAGATGTTCTACTGCATTTTGTTGCATGAACATTAAAACATCGTCCGTATGAAATAAAAGCAGTGACATCAGTTTCCGTGTCTAGAGCTACTGTAATTATGCAATAATTGGAGAGTGGCATCTGTTGATCTGTAATTGCATTATTGTATTCTTTGTATTGTTATGTTGTTTTGTTGTAAATGATTTGCATGTATTGTATTTTCTCTATTATTGTCTAAATAGCTGATTTTGCCTTATTTATTCAACCAAAAGATAGCAGCAGAGGATAGTTTTCCATTACTCACAGGAATGTTCACTTTTTTCATGAAAAAATACCCCAAGCCCCCAAAAGAGAATATTGGGAGGAAGAATTTAATTTCTGTTTCAGGAATTTCTTTACTCTTTAAAAAATTTGCGTAGCGTGCAAAATAAACCAAAATCAATAAAAGTCCACTGGGAAACCTGGATTTACTTTACTTTTTGAAAACACTAAAAGTGTGGGGTTTTTTTTTGTGGGAATATTTTCATAAAATAACACAGTCTTGCAAGCAAGCTCTGGGTGTGCTCAATCTACATTTTATGGCAAATAAAATCTTTGACTAGGAAACTGCCTACATTTATTCAGGCATCGCTGGAAAGATAAAGTGCTAAAAAGCAAACAAAACAAGGACCTTAATAACCCCAGCTTGCATGGTGAACACGACTGTCATAAGTTGACAGGAACAATTATGTTTCATACATTTTGCAAGGCTGTGTTGATGTCACATTAATTAGTCATTCGACTGAATCCACTTAAGAGAGTCTCTGTCAAATCTCATATTCCTGCTATCAGAAATAAAAATATCCCTGTTAGACCCAGATGACTGATTAATCCCTCCTCCTTTTAAAAAACACACAGAGAAATATTTGAAAGGAAAATGATAAAAAGAAATAAAATGACAGGCTTTGGGGAGAAGAAATCATGCATATTAAATTGAAATTGAAGTCTGCTTTTTTCATATGAGAATACTCAGAAAACATTGAGATCTTTGTGAACTTAACAGATGCACAATAATAAAAATTATCTTTAAATATCAATCACAGGTCTGACGTGCTGTCTAGTTTGCACTGATTAGCACTATATAAATTTTGAAGGTATGAAGAGTGTTCCAAGTCTGAAACACGGGCAGGAAGGCAGAATTAGACTAAATAGTCATAAAAATATAGTTAAAAAAGCATGTTTCAGATCAGCTTGGAGTTTTGAACCATCTGCTACATGAATAATCACATACTCACATTACTTTTCTTTACATCAAATGATATGCATAACTTCCTCACCTTCTTTTCAGCTTCTGAGTCACATTAGAAAACAGACAAACCTCAAAGGCTTAGAAGAGCTATTCTTTCTGTATTTCTGCCCTGAGTAAGGAGCAGGCAGGCTTAGAAGAGCTATTCTTGCTGACTGTATTTCTGCCCTGAGTAAGGAGCAGGCACTAGGAGAGATCTCAGGAAGACAGCAGTCTATCCAGAGAACTTACCAGCATATTGCATATTTAAGAGGAGAAAACCGTTTGGATCAACACAACCATATGTAGTTCTCATTAATCAAACGAAGACACTGATGCGCTCAGCACATTTTAAGAAACAGATAAACATCCAGATGCTGTAAAATGCTGAGCTCTTGCTTATTGCTGCTTCAGTGCAGCTCCCTCTCCACTGGCTCTGGGCTGAGGGGCTGCTTTTGGCCTAAATGACTTGCTTTCAGAGTCTGGAAAAGCTTCTGTTCTTGCAAAGTGCCAGTTGCTCCTACCAGGTCAGGGGAACTGCTATTCAAGTTGAAATATGCACAAGCTGAGAAAATATCGTATTTCTAAAAATAAAAAATTAATAGTAAAAATATTTCGACATTTGGAGATTCTCTTCGTGTTATTAATGGATATTCCCGATACTGCTTTGAATATGGAGTGATATTTATAAGCTGAACAGCTGGATCTCATTTATGGTATTCAACTCAAGACTAAGTATTTTGAGATTGCATTATAGAATGAATCCATCTGTGTAGATGTTTCATTACAGAGACTGATTTATTTTTTAAAAAAATATTCACTTAATATGCTGTGTTGCAATATTCTCGCATTCAGATGAACCCAGAGAAGTGAAATTTGTGCAGACGTAATCAAAGGAACCCAACCTCTGGTTTATGTTCAGATTGCAAAGATTTACACATTTTTTTCTTTTATAGTTGTCAGATTTTCACGTACATAACACCCAAGTGCTCTTTGGAAACTGCCTTTTATCTCACTGATATGTGATTATATATCTGTGGATAGTACAAGGAGAACTTTGACACGGGGAACTTGAATATCCTGTTTCAATGGCCTTTATACACCTTAGATTATTTCTGACCACTTTTTCTCTTCTTTCTTCTCTATATCTTTGCTCCTATTGTATTAAGTCTTTGCCAGGAGATGAGAATTTTTGTGTATAGACAGCTGCCTCGGGAAGGAAAAACAAAAACCGGCTGCAGGTTATGTGAAGGTTCAGGTTACATGAGGATGCTTTTTTTGAGGAGACTAATTTAAGGTATGTGGTTTGTATGTAGACTTTACAAATAAATATATAGGATTATTTCCAGATTATTTCAGAAGTATGCTTGTTTAAGTATAAAAGATGAACTTAACCTTCTTAGGGTACTTTGTTTAATAAAAGATGAACTTAACCTTCTTAGGGTACATTCAAAATGAATGTTTTCTTCTGCATTTGCCATCTGAATTCTGAACAAAAACACCAGCAAAGAACTGTTTGAATTAATATGTTGCAGGAATCAGTTTATCTCCAGAAGGCCAGAATGAAAAATAATTACACTGGTTATTATCTTACATCTGTCCTTTCTGAAACAAATCTTGTTTCTTCCCATTGCAAGTTTCCATCTCCCATCCAGGTAGGATGAGCATATGTGAGTACCCTTTGGATACATTTTCAATTTAGCTATTGTCTGGAAGGAAGGCAGAAATGAGGTCTTAGAAAATGGGCTAGATTTAGCATTGCAGATTTGATTATGCTGAAGAACTTTGCATTAAGATCATATCTTGTAGAAGGCAGTTCTCTGCAAGAGGTGTGGTGTCCTCCGGATTTCAGTTCAAGTCTATTCTGACAAAAAAGCACAAGACTATTTGGTCTGCAGTGATACTTCTATACAAAGACTAAAACTATACTTTGAAACTGTATGTGGAAATAGATGATTTGTGGAGTTGCCTTGTACATTTTAGACAAGAAATGTCACATACCCCAACCAATAATAGTGTACCAGTAGAAATATCTCCTCTCTGGGAAAAAGGTTTCTACTAATAAAGTGAAAAGGTACAATCCTTCAATAAAAAGCCAGAAGTAGTTGGACATGACACAGTAGTGAAAAAACACCATCACTGCTTTGCATTCCACCTGCAGAGAATCAAGAAAAACAAAGTTATTTCCATGTTGTTTCCACCTAACAGATAGAGAAAATGCTTTCAAGCTCTTCAAATCTCTTATTGAAAAGGAACACAGCTGGGACTGGTATTATACACTTCTAATAGTACAGTTTTAAAAGCATGAGAAGAATGTGAGGTGCCACTTAGACAGCGAAGCGTGAAAGGGCAGGTAGACAATTTTACCAGTGGGAGGTGGTCGGCGGGTGTCTGGAGACAGCTTGAGAACATCTTGCATTAGTGGGAGTTCACATCGTCAATGGATGCTAATTGCTAGATTTAAGCCCCCTTCCAAGGAGTAAGTGCAGAGAAGAAAAGAATCCAGTAGTGTATCAAGAAACCTAAGGAAGGATGTGAAATGACAGGACGATTGTGGAAAGCCCTGAGAGCAGGATCAGAAAGGATGCACCCTCCTGTGTGCAGTTGAGAATTGTACTTCCTTGTCATTTGCAGGTGCTGTCACTCAGGGACAGAAAATGAAAGTGAGTGTAAGGAAAGCAGAGTGATTTACTGTAAAAAATGGCAGAAGCTTTCATTCATTTATGGGGGGGGGTGGGAGGTGGGGGAGGCAGGAAGCAATGGACAAAAGAAAAAAAAATAAAAAAGAGAATGAACTGGGTTGTTTAGACTAGAGAAAAAGAATGCTGACAGGTGACCTTATCACTCTCTACAGCTACCTGAAAGGAGGGTAAATAAAAAAGAGAACAAACTGGGTTGTTTAGACTAGAGAAAAAGAATGCTGACAGGTGACCTTATCACTCTCTACAGCTACCTGAAAGGAGGGTGTAGAGAGGCTGGGTTGGTTTCTTCTCTCAAGTAACAGATGACAGAGTAAGAGGAAATGCCCTCAAGTTGTGCTAGGGGAGGGTTAGGATGGACATTAGAAAAATTTCTTCACCAAAAGGATTATCAAGCGTTGGAACAGGCTGTCCTGGGAAGTGGTTGAGTCACCGTCCCTGGAGGTGTTTAAAAGACCTGTAGATGTAGCACTTAGGGGCATAGCCTAGTGGTGGTTTTGGCAGTGCTAGATTAATGGTTGGACTCAATCTTAAAGGTCTTTTCTGACCTAAATGATCCTATGATAAAAACTTTAGGTGGAAACCAAGCATAGCCCAGTGGTGGTTTTGGCAGTGCTAGATTAATGGTTGGACTCGATCTTAAAGGTCTTTTCTGACCTAAATGATTCTATGATAAAAACTTTAGGTGGAAACCAAGCTCTACCTTGACTCTATGAGAGTAGGACACACTTGTCTTTCCAGTGTTGCACCCCAGTGAGACACCATTAGTCCTACAAAAGCTTAACTTCTCAAGAAATCAGAGCAGAAACAGTGCATAAACTGGGAGCTCCTGCCTGGGGCAGTGGGAAACTAGCAATTTTGACTGGTTCCCACTTGCACTTCATCCTCTGGGACAAATCTACAACCAATATGTTTAAACCATCAGATCTTTTATTCATGGAAGCTCTATCAGGGCTGAAGGTCTGGTCATTAGATGACTGATTTTAACGTGTTTTATGCTTCAGGTATTTCAAAACAAAGAAGATGCCACTATTAGAAGAATGGTATGGTTTCAAAACAAAGAAGAAGATGCCACTATTAGAAGAATGGTATGAACAAGCTACAGATCTAACATGGCTTGAACTTCATCATGGAGAAGAACTAAAAGCAAAAATTAGTTTCAATGACAAAGAACAGGCTGACTAAGAAACTAAACAGCTGCACTTTCCTCGTGGAAGGGACCCATAGGGAATTTAGCTCCTACCTAGATGGATAAAGGAGATCTCAGTTTGGGAAGTCACTGTAATTCCATTATAATTACACCCGCTGAGCTGATTTATAAAATCAAATACTAGCCTTAAATGCATGAGGAATCGGATTTACATGTAATATACAGCTAAATGCATCTGTGGAAGAGACTGCTTTCTATGAAACCACACACTTCAGCGACAAACACATGGCTAATACTAATGATTTTTTGAGAGTGTGGCTGTCAGGGGTATTTTCTATGTCTGAATGGTTGCCCTTTTTACACATGACTCTTCCTGACATCCAGAACAAATAAAGGTTTGGAGAAAAGCCAGAACTTCAGATGAAGGAAATTGCTTGTGCCTGCTCTCATCTCACCTACTGCTATGCAGATCTGTGAAAGGGAGAAACAACCCAAGTAGTGTCAGAAACCAAGACTTGTAGGTTTGTCCTAAGGGACAGACCGCTGGATGCTGATGGCATCATGAGACAATTCCATCCCAGTTTTGCTGGAGGGAAGTTTACCACCAATTACCTTCCCTCCCAATAGCTTCTTGGCCTATGATGCCCAACAGACTGCTGCTTACCTCACTGCTTTTTGTTATCTCATGCTGAAAATATATATAAAAAAAGGCTTTGGCTTTACTTACTGTTGAGATACCCAACAGACTGCTGCTTACCTCACTACTTTTTGTTATCTCGTGCTGAAAAAATATAAAGGAAAAGGCTTTGGCTTTACTTACTGTTGAGATAAAACAGTGGTTGCCATCCTGTTCAGCATAAAGAACCCCATCTTTAATGAATACAGATATTGCACGTAGGATGAATGAAACAAAGAGGTTCATGTGGATAAAATTTCGAGTGCAGTGAAGCTTCCTAGAGAGGAAAGAGCCAGGGAGAGGAAAAAGGAAAAACAAAACAAAACAAAACAGACTTTTCTTTCGTGGAAATTGCACGTCAGGCATATCTGCACACATGGCCAGACCTCCTAGCACCTTGGCCATAAGAACAACATCTGAAAGTCAAGAGTGTGGATAATACTGACCCTAAACCCAACCAAGAGGAGAATTTGGGGATTTTCCTGTAAAAAACATGCAGGGTAGCATGAAATAGACCTAGTGCAATGCAGCTTCTGCATTTGCATCTACAGTTTACTGAACTGTGGCTACTGCAGTGTGGTGAAGCTGGAGGAACAACTCTATTAAAGGGCTGTCTCCGTTTTATTCTATACTTTTCTACATTTGGTAAGATAAAAGCTTAAATATTGTGTTGGACCAATGAGCTCCAGCATCTTTCCTCCAGTGACAGAACAGCTCACTGCTCGTGTCCTGACTCACCTGAAACGACACAGGATAACCATGGCAGTGGTGAGGGAAACAAGAGAAGTGCTGTATCCAACCGTGTACAGAGCCTTCACAGAGAGATAGTAGTAATCCTTGGGAGGCAAACAACACACAGTTAAATGGTCCATCTACGGTCACATCTTCTTTACCCTGTCAACATGCAGAGGCAGCCATAGCTAGGATTTGTTTCTTGAACAGCCTGGTTGTTTTCCCTTCTTGGTTCCCCCAAGATCTCACTGTGTATTAGAGTATTGCTCTATGTCTGGCATGCCCTTGGTTCTTCATACTGTGAAGTTTATTTGTCAGTGAGCAAGCAAAGTTGTCTATATTTCTTTGAACACTGAGTTGTAGAAAAAAAAAGTTGTCAGCTAAGGGATTCTTTAGTCAATAGGAGAAGAACTAGGGGCTTCTAGAAGTGAGAAGCTGTATCAACAGTAAACAGTCATACTGTGGAAATATTCAGTCTAGGGATAGGAAGGATTTATATCTTGCTTCTTACATTTTTATGCCCATAAATATCTGATTGTTTCATTCTAATCACCATCAAATCAGACCATGACCAGAGGCTGGACGAAAAGCAGCCTGCTGCTCTCCCCCTTCATTTGTTTTTAATTATAAGATTAATTCCCACCTGGTTATCAGACTCTGTTTCATTTTCATCAAAGCCACAGGCATCATAATAATGAGGAAAAGGTTCAGACCAGCCATCTTCAGTGCAATTTCTGCTGATGTCCCCTACGTCAAGTACAGTTGAGAATATGAAATTGCTGAAGCAAACCACAGGACGTACCATCCCTCCCCTTGGTACACAACCAAAGAAAACCCCACAGTACCACTAGGAGATCTATTTATCTGGCTACCCATAGAAGATTTTAATGGCATCTTTAAAGTTTAATGACATCATTAATGACTTAGTTCTACACTAGTACCTATGGTTGTCTACTCCTACAGCTGGTCACCAGAGAGGAAAAAAGATTTAACCAGTGTAGTCAGTGGTTTCAGGCCACCAAAGATTTCATTCCCAAGTGGATACCTAAACCAGGGGTCAGCTAAATGTCTCTTTCTCTCCGTTGATTCTGAAAGGCATCTGGGGAATACAGCTTGATGTAGACATCTACACTTCAGATGGCAGTTAAGCCCAGTCCTTAAATATAGGTTGGTACTTTATGCTATTTAAAATAAGCTATATCTGGGGCATCTGGCATCTACACTTCAGATGGCAGTTAAGTCCAGTCCTTAAATATAGGTAGGTACTTTATTTAAAATAAGCTATATCTGGGGCATCTGCATGAGACCTGCAAGAAAACACAAGGCTAATACAATTTTTTGAAGCAGCAGCTACTGTTGCATATGTAAAACAGACATTTTATGTCTATAGTGAGGCATCTGGATTATCCTCCTGCAGTCAGATAAATGAGTGGGATACATGTTATCTTCATGCCTAGGTTCTGATCTGAGAGTGACTTTGTGAGAAGGGTCTGTAGGAAAAGAGAGGAAAGATGGAGTGGGAATCTCTTCCTCGTTTGTCTTCATAGCAGTGTGTTCATTTAAAACTCCAGATGCCGAGTGTGGCTGACATTCAAACCTCTTTCAGGGTTTCTCACATCCCTCTGCCTATTATCTATTCCAATCCCAGTTCATAACCTCAGCCCAAAGCAAGTGTTTGCAAGGAGGCTCAAAACTAGCTCAGAGAAAACCTTCTTCTCTTTTTCACTCTTTTCACTCTAATTGTTTGGCTAATCTCATATAAGGACTAGCTCCTAAAAGGCTTCCACTGACACAGTCAAAAGGCTTAAAACTGTATTGGGAAACAAGAGCTGGGGGTAGAAGAGGAAAGTGTCTCTTGACACTCACTGTGTTCCTGAGGCTGTGTAAGGTGGGATGGCCCCTGTGGGGCTCTTTTTAAGAACTATTACTCTTGCCAGAGCTCAGTGACCTGGTTGAAAAATTAGACCTGAGCTGCTGGCTGCACTTACTCCTCTCCAACACAATAGAACAGTTTCCATTTATTGAACTATTACAGTTTTGGGGCTGAGCTGTATCTTGACCAAAATTGATGGAAATTTCCAAGGTTTGGTTGGTTTTTTTTTTTTATTAAGGTTATGCTGCTTCGCATTCTTAGAGGAGTTTAGTCAAGCAGCTCATAACACCAGCAGTGACCTTATTTTTAGAGAATCTGTTTGCCATCCATGCAGCAGAATATATCTATTTAATCACAGCATTCGTTTAAGAACATTGCATTACTTGGCAAATATTGGTAAATTACTCTTGCACATTCATCCCTAGTTTTCTATGGAAAATAACCACTTAATCATGGTGTTGACTTTCCTTAATACCATTTAGTAATTACTGTTAAGCAGGTAGATATAATTTACAGTAACACACTTGCTAGATTGCAAGGTTCAATAGTGGAGGAATAAATTTTCATAATACTGCTAAAAGTAATGCACCAGAAAATATGTCATCATAATTAGAACCCATTTGAAAATAATACCTAAATGGCAGGAGAAAAAGCTTGGAGCTTCCTTTTTAACAGAGTTAAAATAAAAAGAGAAGCATTCCATGGGTCTTTTTCTTACCTAGGGGAGACTGGGCTGTGCTTTCCAGCAGGTCATAATCACCTATAAAAGTGGAAATTTGGTATGAAATTGCTTTGATTGTGTTTTCTATTAAGACCCGAACTGGTCTCTGTGGAAATCAGTGAATAGGATCCAATAGATTTTTATTTGTTTGGACCAAGCCCAAAGGCAATAAATACTTGATTTTGTCTTTTCAGGAAGTAAACACAGTTTTACTTGTGAGTTTAAATCAAAGCTGAACCTATAAAATTTTAAAATTGCTACTGCAAGCAGCGTGCATGTAGCTAAAAACATACACAATCAAACTAGGACCAATTTTATTGAAAAATATTAAAGGCGAATATCATATCTTTAGCAATTTACGTTTATAAACTGTAGATGTTGAAGTACAGTCATTTTCATAGAATTCATGAAAAATTATTTCGATTCAACAGTGCAAAAAGGCAATAATTAATTGATTTTAAGGAAGACGGTCTAATTTTGTGGTTTTAGGTTAGATCACGTTGATTTCTAGACACTTACCAGATTTTTACTTCCACTTTTTATCAGCATGTGACAACGAATTATGCATATTAATTATCATAATGGCTGATGCACAAGCAACTTTCTAGTAATTGGATATTATTGTGTGCCCTACATATAATTTTTGTGAACAGAGATACATAGGAGTTAGTCAGCACAACTGATTCTTACCTGCATGGGTTTGCCCCAAGTTATCTACTTCCCAACCTGAAATTAGAAGAATAAAAATAATTAATTTGATCCTGATAATAGTTTCCCTTTCAAAAGGCGAGTGGATGTAGCATTGCCCAGAGAGGAACTGCAAGAAAATTTTGTTTAAATCCTTTTTTCAAGATAAGACTGTATTAGTATGGCTGAAAAGTGCTTTTCAGAAGATGGTCAACAGCATTGGGTTGTTAAATCTGTGGTTATCGTGGAGTTTTCATCAAACTCTTGGAAGTATATGAAAAAGAGATGAGTGATCTTATTATGAGTGATCTTATTCGGTTTTTTTTTTCTCCCTCTTTTTCTTTTTTTTTTTGGAGGAGAGAGGGGAGGGGTTTGAAATAAGAAAGGCCCACATATTTCCAAAACATTATGCTGAAACCCATGCTGATGTGTATATTAAAAATACAAAAGTAACAATGAGAAATCATAACAATTTGAGTTTGCATTAAAAATTTTCCTTTTCCTTCCTTTTGTCCTTCCAAAATAAAATGTTGGGATTATTTCAAACCAATCCCCCACCCGCTCCACTAAGCACTTAACCCGAACTGCACTGAAATCAGAATTTCCCTGAATCCTCAGTGCATTTTGGCTCGAGTTTGGTGCTGGGGAATGCATAAAGAGGAGCAGTCCTAGGCCACCAAGTGGTGCTGCTGCATCGTGCAGAGACAGACACTGAGGAGCCTGACAAAGCTCTCCACAAATAGCTCTACCAGTGTCCACCGACCAGGGAAAAAATATTTCTGAGGTTTCATTGACTGCTATGGCATGTTAAATGTTTAGATTACCTTAGTTCTGTTTCCTCTGGAGTAACCACAGGGCTACAGGTTGTTCTTCTTTAACCCTGAACGTATGGTCAAACCTTAACTAGGGATTGCAAAAGCCATTTACTGACTTATATGAGAAGGTTTTTATTAAAGGTAAAATCCAAATAAAGATTGGGTTTGATCCTATGGGAAAGGAGAAAGACAGAATCTAAAGGAAAAAAAATTAGTAAAGAGAGCCTTTTCACCACAGCATAAAATACATTTTACATTTTATGCTTTTTCAAACTCATCATCATGATGCAGTAATTTCAAATTCATAGATTTCTTTCCTCTAAAATAAGTCAGATGGGCTTTTTGATCTTTTAAGATAGAAAACAGAGGATTTGGTGTGAAGATGATGGTGGTAGTCTAGAAAACTGAGCCGAAGCACCAGGTAGGCTGTACTGTGTCTTTGAATGGATGTATTCACCATCGAACCTACACATTCAACCCACCAGTTACTCTGGAGGGTTAATCCTGAAAGCCATGATGAGAACACCCTTGGTCTCCTGGCTTCTCTGCCCAACTCCAGCTGCTTTCAAGATTTCACATATGAGAATTCTTGGATGTTTGCAAATATGGGGTGGCGTACTAATTCTGAAGAGAAGTCACCAATGCTCTGAGCAAACATTTTCCAGCGAAAATCGTTCAACCTGCTGCATCAGACTGAATTACCAGATGCTGCAGAAGCGCTCTGGCTGCGCTCCAGATTCCTGGCACAATAACAGGGATGCTTCTGCAGAACATTTTCCTGTTTCTCTCCTAAGCCTACCAAAACTCAGGTTTATTAACAGTGATGTAGCTTAGATATAGCTGCCTGTGTTACTAAAATCTGAATTCAGAATACGAACTTTCAGATAACCTGCAGGAATTTTTACCTGTGGCAGAGGGAATTTTTATTAGGCAGAGGATCAAAGAGCAAACCACTGTCCCTCTATCACTGTCTTTCATAGCCTGCTGACACTCAGATCAGTAGGTCGTAATGGACTTTGTTCCATTTGGACTTCTGGACTTCCAAAAGACTTTTTGACTAATAAAAATACAGCTTTGCTAGTTGTACAGCATGGCTTAAATCTTGATATGTGATATTGCAAACTTTCCAACATTCTTAATGGAGTAAGACCAGGTCAATATTAAATAGATTGAAGCCTTATGTTCCTGGGATCCTGGGGTATTACACTGATGGCTCAGAAAAATATAATTTTTGAAATATAAATGTTCTAAATGTAGCTAGTTTTTTCCTATAATATAAAAAAATGAGGAAGTAAAAATTACCATTATTTCACATTAAATATGGGTGGCAGTTAGTCACACTGATGTTAAAATATTAGATTTTAGTTCATTTTGAATTTTATGACTTCTGTAATAGCAGTTAAAACATCATATTAACGTGGTTTGGTGAGGTTTTTTATATTAATTTTATTTTTACATACCCAAATTATTATTGCATTTTAACTTTGTTTGGACATTATGAAGGGATTCATATTTTCAATAACATTAATTTTCTGACTCCTGCAGGAACAAACTTGCCTTTTATTACCATGGTTTTTTGACATCGGAGTCCTTCCTAATGTACTGAAGTTTTGGTACAACCTTTTACTACACAGGTTTTTAGTCTTGATTCATCAACCTAATTTTGCCTAATAAGTTAAGCTATTGGAAAGTCAATTAGATTTACACTGAACATTATGCCCCAAATTACAACTAAATGTCAAAATTAGTCTAATGAGCATTAGGATAACATACACAAGTATATTTGTGTGTGTATGCATTTATATATAAGCACGCAATGAGGGAAGACACAGCCACCATCTGGCTTTAAATTCCTGCGTGCTGCTGCTGCCCGTCTCTCTGACACCATATGTTTATGTATGTTGCTCCAGAATATGGATGTTTATATGATAAATAACTCTGCCAATGGCTATGTTTGCTCACATGTATGAGAGTGCGAAGGAGTTATTTGGATTATTTCTAAGCTTAACATTTAACATGTCTGCATATATAAGGACGAAGCCTGAGCTTGTGTTTGAACTGGGGCTTAGGAAGTCTAGACATAGAGCAATGCCTCTCATTTTTCAGACTATTACCCTGAAACTGTATTTTTGTGGGGTTTTTTTCACCTTATTGCCTTTCTGACTCTAGAGAGACCTCAGCAAGTTTTCTCTGTAAGGGGCAAAGCTGTAGAGCACCCCATGGCATGGGCTTTCACATTAATCTTCTCATTGCTTTACTATTAGGACTTAAACAAGGAGAAATGGTGCATTAGACTTCACTGATGGAGCAGAGAAAGCCCATCAAGGTGATTATGCAACAGGCTAGATGAAATACATTACTTGCCCAGAAATGAACAATAAATAAAATATGCTTTTCATCTACATTTTGACTGGAAAGCTATTTTTCAGGATTTTAATTTAAGGATTACATTCATGACTTACATTAACACCTGTGCTCCTTATATGTGGTTAAATAACAGCACAGCCCAGTTTACCGGAGCTATTAAACAGTGTCTTAGAACACCATTTTAAAAATCAATAACTGCTTACATTAGCTACTAAACTCCAGAGGAAGATAATGTTATCTTTGACAAAGGATGGGTTACCCAGTGCATTGACAGACAGTATTATTCACTATTTGATCAGACTGAACAGGCAAGTGTCACTGTTTGGGAAGTAAAGCAAATCTTCCATTAGTGCTTTAACTGTCATTATTAATTAGATGTTATTTGCAGTACTACCTAGAGACCCTAGAAAAGACCTATCAGAACGCTGAATTGTCAGTTCCAAAGACCAAACATGAAATATATTGCTCACTTCTAATTTCTACATGAAGAAGTGAAAGAGAAGAAGAAAATAATCAAAGGCCTCGACAACAGCCACCCATGGAGTTAGTGGCAGAGATCCAGACATTTCATGCCCTTATTTGCACATTTATCAGACTTTCTTCCTTGGTTTTCATTTGCTGAGTCCCAGAAGACATAACTACCTCCTCACTATCCTCCAATGGAGGAGAAATTTGATGCAAGCAATTGTTGCTTTTGATTTAAAGTGAACAGGACTGGCAAATCAAAAGCCAAGAAACAGCCCGGGTAGGATGAGTCTTGGAGCTCAGTGCAGCCTTTTAGATCCTCTCCTACGTGCCAAATGTGTGCTGACTGCTTTCAGTGTCAGCTGGCATGGAAACTGCTTTATCTCCCATAGATTTGTTTATCCAAGCACAACTTGCGTTTAACCCTTTTGTTCCAACGTTTGTCCCTTATTAGTGGCAGGTGGGGAAATGAAAGGCTTCCAAAACTATTCTGTCCCGAAACAGCTCACCCACACTTTTCCCTTATTCCTCTTGTTCCCATTTCAGTATTATGGGTTGGAGGACTGGTCCACATAGGCAATCCTCCTCCAAAAGGTTGGATTTTGACCACGTTGAAATCAAGGTGCAAAGCTCTCACTGGTTTTACCGCATGGTGAATCTGTCACTTTAGAAAGTACAGAGACTGGGGTGGAGAGGGGTTATGAAAAATATTTCCTATGATCACTTGTGCTGTCCAACTACGTGGATAATGGTCTGATTGAGACAGGGATCTATTTTTTTGTCCTGGTTTTTGATAGGACTGATTCGAAGCCTAACGTTTAACGTATAAATACAGAATAAATCAGGGAGCTCTCGTGCTGACTCCGCAGCATCCACCACACTGTGCCTTTTCGCTCCCTTCCGTGTGGCTGCACGCTGCTCTCATGCACCAGCAATCTGTTCAGCCTGCTGGCAGAGCCACAGTTGGGAACAGGAGTCTACTTAGCAGCTTTTCTGGGGCTTTCTGAGCTCCCCACTCAGCTACCACTTGCCCACCCTGCCCGCTTGTTTCTAACACCCTCTGCCCACTCCTGGACCTTGGCGTGCATCATCCCACATCACACTGTCCAACCGTCCTGCTTTCTTCACTCTTTTTGTGCAGGGGAGGCAAAGTAATCCAGAATCAGCTGCCACATCTTTACAATCTCATTAGCAGGATCTGTAGAAAGTGGCAGCCAGGCAAGATTACAGAGTATACAGCCTTACAGGTTCCCACAACTTTCCCCTCCAATCTTTCCAGGGATTTTGGTCCCTCCAGCCTCATGCCCTATAGATGATTCTTTAAAGTAGAGATTGAAAGTCATGACTCCCTTGGTATTTATTATGTGTTGCCATTTACCGTGTTATTGCCAT